GGGGGGGCGGAATATTTGCGGTTTTAGTGATAATATAATAAGCGTTGCTGCGCGCGGGCACAACAAATACGCTTTTGCCTCGACTTAAATTTGTTTTAGCACGAGTACAGCAAAATATAAAATTAATGAATTAGATAATAACAAATATCTGCTTCGCAAACAGTTCAATCCCGCCAACGCGTGAGCACTTAATTGGTTTCGTCCATAGCAATTGTTTCTATCAGCAGAAAAAAAAATTACACCCTTTTCAAAAAACAAAAAAAGAGAGTTGAAAGTAGTTTCTTGCATGGCGGATTTTTGCAGATGGAAATTTCGATGCGAGATTACAATTTATAGCCTACAATTTCTAACCTGACTGGGAGCCGCTGAGTAAAATGCAACAACGGACCCTAGCTCAGTTGTCGCGGTGCGCTACACCGGAATGCATGGTCACAGGATCGCCTATTTTTGCATTTTCCGCAACTCCTCCCAACAAAGTAAAAGCTGCCTGGGGAACAATTTTACCCTAACACCTGAATTCTGTCGGCAGCGTACGCACGTAAAAATTTCCGTTCCATTTTACAGGTACATCAGTGGCACATTTTTTTCGGAAAAAGTTCGAAAAATAATTTTTTGAAAACATGCACGCGGGAAAACAATTCCTGTAATAGCAAAAATATTGGGGCGCCCGAACTTGTTGAAACTATTGACCTGTATCCCCGGCATACCAACACGATTAATAGTTTGATATTCCAGTATGTTTCATGCTTTTTTCTTGTATTCCAACTCCCATACAGTCATCCCTATATTCCGACTGCTTTCACTCACTTAATTAACTGCTGTGGCCGGTTCCTCGAAAGCTGGTTATTTTAATCCTAAGTTAATGTAAAACTAAAAGCAAACTTCCTAACTGCTTATTTATAAACTACAAATATTATTTGAGGTTTTTCAATAAACGGACGTACAAAAGTGCATTAAAATTTTAAGCATTGCATGCTTTCAACAACCATCCCCCCCCCCCCCCCTCCCTCCTTCCTTGGGCTACATAAAGCAACCCCGAGTTTGAATTAAGGCCGGATTTTGGTGGGAATAGTAAGGGAGGTGGGAAAAATTTAGGGGAGGTGTAACTCACGCCCCCCCCCCCCATGGAAAGTTAGTGCTTAGAACGGGCCAAAGTCAACAATTATTATCTGACGTATATGCATGTAGTGTACATACAGTATGTATCAGTGTATTAATGAATTATGACTGTACAGCTCATCCAATTTCGCCCTTCATTAAAGTTACTACAAATCTTTGTAGTTACTACAAAATTACTACTTTCTTTCAAAACATTACATTAAAAGGGTACTTGACACAGATGAATAGCTATCACTGTTTCAATTTTACATAAAAACTTTTCAACCAAAAAATGTCAAATTTTTACTTTGATCTATCATTGAAACTTCCCCAAGAGGAGGTGCATCACATTTCAGGGGAGGTGCAAAAATTCTCTGGGGAGGTGCAAAAATGCTCAGGGGAGGTGTAAAACGATCTCAGGGGAGGTGCAAAACGATCTCAGGGGAGCTGCGCACCTCCCCTGAAAACCCGGTCATGGTTTGAATGGAGTCCTGTTCCATTTTCTACACCACCTCTCCAAGTTTTTGGCACATGCCTCATGTTTGTATCTTTTCTGTAGTATCTTGTCATTTGGTGCTCCACAAAGCAACACATATAAAATAATTGCTGAAGGTAGAGGCGAGATGGTGTTTGAAACAAGTCAGGTAATTATAAATAGACAGATTTAGATCGAGGACGCGGACGTCAAAGACGACGTGAAAATGGCGTGTTGTGCCCATGTATGGATATGCCACGCCACTTTGACGCCATTTTCACGTTGTCTTTGACGTCCGCGTCCTCGATCTAAATCTGTCTATTAACTAAAGACAACTTGTAATCATTTATCATGCTGAAATACTGTATTATGAATTCCTCCTTCGCTGGCCGCAATGAATTGCCGAATTTCGTAAGACAAGTATGAAACTTCAGACTTGGAAGGATTACGACCCCATCAAGAACTACATGCGTCCCTATACATATACCTATATATACGAATGGAAAACATGAAATCCATTTGACAACAATATAAATGAATAAAAAGGACAGCATGCAGCTTTATCCATGGTCTGATGTGCATGTATTTGTTGCGGTAATGGTTCTTCAATAAATTTAGAAAGATTGAAACTCTTTTTAACTTATCTGTAATTATAATGTTCAATGTTCTTGGCATATTACGATGTATTTGCTAAAGGCCTAACAAGCTTTATCAACCCGAGATGAAATAAAGTTGTCTATCTATCTATTTATTTTTACCACTTCCCATCAGGGTAATTTGAACATGAACATTGATTGCCCGACATAAAATTCACTCGCCAACACGTCTAGTTTTGCCCTCGCATATATATTAACATGCACATTTTGTAGTAAGGATTGATTAATCACCATCCTAAGCTTGTGTTTTCCTTGACAAATTCAATTTAAGACTGTAACTTAAAGTTTTGATTTCAGCTTATAAAGAATCAAATACATAATGCTTAACTGCTCAACATACTGTACACAAGCAAACAATTTAGTGTTGTAATTAATTTCCGGCAAAACAATTTGCCCGATCGGATAATCAAAAGGCAACTTCTACTTGCTCGAAATTATTTTACTTGCCTCGGGCAAGCTGTCATGCGCTAAGTTATGTCGTGCACTGATACTTTTCCATGTGTATACGTACATATAAAAATACAGCCTTAATGCACCCTCACCTTAGTCAAGAGAGGTGCTTCAATGGAAATTTATCTTTTTTTATATATTCATAGGTTGTAGAAATAGCAAAATTGATGAAAGCGTACATCAACGAAATTGTACGACGGCGCACCAGACAACAACAACTTCAATAACCGAAGCTAATAACGTGTGAGAATTTCAGTGATCAGAGATGGTGAACCCTGCTATGGAACGACAATATGTTGTGTATATTTTCTTGCACCTCGTCATTGCCGTTCTTATAGCCTATAACCAGCCTGAAATATGTATAGTATGCCATCTAATTAATGAATGTTTTGTAAAGAACACTTAAAAGACCAAGGAACATCTTTTACAAGATTTTATTTGCTTGTTTCGTAACGACCATTATTGAAATATCATCGATTGGCATGAGGTTACATTACATACAGTAATGGCATTTTTAAATTAAAGAACATCATTTTAAACATACAATTTCGCACCTATTCATATTATTGTTATTTTTTTATTTATTACAAATCTTATTTTACAACGGTTATCGTTCAACACGCCTGGGTTATTGATTTCTAAGGAATGGTTCACACTATAGTAATCTATATAGGTGCAATTTTATCAAGTATTTTTAGAAATATGCTTTTAGAAACCATGATGTCACATGCAAGGATATTTCCTGCATATCTGACGAATATCTCAATGTAACTTTGAATTTAGAAACATTTTGATAAGTTAACAAATCTTACAAAAGATGTTATTCGGTCTGTGTAATGCAATCATGAAAACGTTAAATTAGTTTCTCTTCCACAATTTGATGCATCTTATTCTTCGTTTTTGCCAAAATATTGAAGAAATTTCTGATGCATGGAATCAGCTTTACGTTGAATGAGAAAAAATAGACAAACACTCGTGTCGAATTGAAATATTGTTATACCAAAAGCCTTATTGTTCCTATATGCAGGCATCTATTTGTCAAGGGCGGATCTAGCAACCCCCCCCCCCTTCCCCCCATAGAGAAGTCCAGAAGTACCCTATTAAAAATATGCTTAACCATATACATTTTCTGTTTTTCCAATAGCAATTAGCAATTAACTACTGTTAGCGCGTGACGATTTCTTGCAATGATTTAATTGATTTGTGAGCTGACGAGAAAATACTCATATTACTTTACTTTATTAAATATCATGGTCAAATATATAAACATACCGAGGTTTTTATACAGCCATATTTCTAAAAACTGTTCTTAACCTGTAACAAGCATGCAAATTTACTGTACTGTGCTACAGCAACCGTCCAGTCACGCATACGTGATAAGAAGCCAATTAAAGTAGCATTATATACTGCGGAGGAGAGTGGGCATTAAGGCTCCCTCATGTGCCACCCATGGAAAACCTGCATCCCTCCTTGCAAATAGGGCTAGATCCGCCCCTGCTGTCTGTAAAGTCGAGTTGAACGCGTGCAAATCCAGTTAGATACAATTATTAGCGAATCGAATAAATAAATTAAATCAATGTAGTTTTATATCATTTAATATTGTAAGAATCATTATATAGGCACATGTGGTTCAATTCAAGTTGTTATCAATGATTCTTCGTACACTATCAGAATTTTATTGATTTCAAGACCGCGTTTTGAATACATAGCGCAAATTTATTATTGAAAGTTATTTATTATCATGACAACAGTGTACTTAATAGTGTACGACCAGTATAGTCTTTTCTAATGTTTATATAGGCAAGTCTAATACTTCATTTCTGAGAGTAAATGATCTGCTCTCAAATTAATATTATATAATTTTAGTATAAAATAATATTACATTATATATTCAATCGACTTAGCAAAGATTTCGTAGACATGAATTAAAGCGAAATGTAAATTGAAATATTTTAGAATCATTGTAATAAATAATAGGCTAATAAATTGTTTTGAGAACATGCGTTGCTTGAGTCATAATTACACTGCTTCCAGCCCAACCAATGCACAAGGCCTACTTATTTGTTCCTTTAGACAATTTTCGGGTTTTGCCTAACCATCCCCCCCAAAAGTGTAAGGCGACAAGTGAATGGGCCAGCGATCAGGCTATTGTACGCTGTTGTATACATTGAACCTTCAATGATTTGTGACCAAGCACTTTTGTTCAAGAGAAGGTGCATGATTTTTATCATTTAAGAGCGAGGGGGATTCGGCGAAACATTACCTGAATCTAAATTAACAAATTCTACAGAGATTACAGAATGGTTAAACGAATTCTTTCCAAATGTTGTACCAAACTTGGCAAGCAGTTTGGATGAATCTAGCTGATATTTTCAAAATTATACTAGAAGTTATGAATCCGAGTTCTCTGCATTTATATACCAATTGCGGTAAACAATTTTTGTGGCAAGCCATATATGGCTAGCCACTATGTTACGATAAAAAAGTTGTCAGTTTGTCCAGTCACGTGACATTTAGCCTGCGTAGCAGGCGTGTTTAGTGCGGGCGGGTGAAGAAAGGGAATAGTGTGACTTTCGAGGCATGTGTTGGTGGTTGGTTTACTTGATTGAGTTTTTTATATATTTTTAAAGTTTGTTCGTTCATTTTGGGCAATTTGTGAGAAGCTGTGCCTGTGTAAAGCAAAATTGACTTGATATTCCGCTTCAAATTTGCCACAGGTAAGCAAACTTTGGTTGATTTCAGCCAAATATTGTATTTTTTATGCTTGAAAATGGGCCATTGTTGCTTACACTGATCTTTAAATAGATCAGGTTGTATTTGCGTGAAAAGCAAGGTGAAAGGCCACGTATCAAATGTGGCAAGCTTTTGGAATAAAAATTCGAATTTGCATTATGAACACAGAAATAAAATAAAAACTGCGACAGATAAATATTGATATTTATAATTACCAATATCAACAACTTGATTTATAAAAGAATCCAAGAATGTTCAAGCTTGTATATCAAGTGTATTAATATGAAGTTGATTGTTTATGATCCATCTGAATAAAGCCCCAGAAAAGGACTCATTCTATTCTGAATGAATAGTATTTGGTACCTCTGCAAGCAATTTAATACAATAAATCTTTTTGAACAAGCTGACCAATAACACTATTAAGATTGTTTCCATTAATTAGAATTCTATTTATAATTGATGTATTCAAACATAATTTTTTTAGTTGGTTTAAAAAGATTTTTTAAAATATCAAATATTAAATTTTTTTAAGCAAAACATCAACCTACCTGCAAGACTGTTTGATAGTTGTACTGTAGTTTGTGTTTGTAATACTATACACGCACAATGACTAGGTAAGATATTGTTAACCCAACACAATGGTAATGGGTCTGGTATTTTTGCCCGCACAATGGCAGGGTTCAACTTTCATATGTGGCCTTTCACACAAATACAACCCAATCTAAGATCAGTGCGAGCAACAATGATCCCTTTTAAAGCGTAAAAAAATACAACAAAATGTTTCACCAAAACAACAAAATAAAATAATATTTGGTTGAAATCGGGTAAAGTTTACTAATACCTAAACAACGGAAGAAAATAATATTTGGCTGAAATGAATTAAAGTTCGCATACCTCTGACAAATTTAAGATTCTATGCTATAATGTTATGTACCATTATGATTGACTCTCTCAAATGATGTTGGGGAAAATCCAGGTCCCATCAATATTAATGAAATAGTTGATCCTACTTTTACAGTTTCTGCAGACTTTAACCCATTAAGCGCCAGCGCTCTCCCCTTGACAAGTGAAATCATCTAGCGTTAGGCAGGGTAGAATAATTTAGCGTTAGACAGAGTAAAATAATAGAGTAGGGTGCATCAGGGCACAATGCGACTCAATGGGATAATCACGGAAATGCGTCGATGTTTGGAAGTAACACTGCATGGTAAACAATGTGTTGCAGTGTCGATCCATGTGATTTTATACAATGAAATAAAGTCTATAATCATCTGGGACACAACTATGAATAGAATTCTAATTAATGGAAAGAATCTTTATATTGTCATTTAATAGTCGAAATGGTCGAAGAAAATTCTTGTTGCTCGCTCAGGTACCAGAGATTAGAAATACTTTTCATTTAGAGTACATGCAGTGAGTCCTTTTCTGGGTCTTTGTTAATTTATTTATTTATTTATTAAACTTTGCCAAAAACACTTAACAAAACAGCAAATAGACATCTAGACAATAAACATGGACAAAAATGGCAGGGACACCACAACAGTGTAAACCAATTACTGTGGGCCCTATACAAAAATACACATACAGTACAGAACATATAACATACAGTACATGGACAAGAGACTAAACAAGAACGTAAATAACGGCTAGTGTTAAACTTCAGACATATAGTCTTCCATGTCCTCGGATCTTGTTCGTCGAAGCATTCGCTCAGGGCTGTCAGGTAGTAAGTTTGTAAATCGGTTTTGAATTGCCTAATATTAATGTCAGGAGATCTTAGTGTAGTTGGTAAAGAGTTCCAAGTTCTGGATGCACGAATAAAGAAGGAGCGTTGGTAGGTAGAGGTTTTGCATTT